AACATACTGTAGTGGAATTCAGCTGTGAACATTTTGTCCAATGTTTTAACTTTCTCCAGACAGACCTGTACCTGTAACATACTGTAGTGGAATTCAGCTGTGAACATTTTGTCCAATGTTTTAACTTTCTCCAGACAGACCTGTAGCTGTAACATACTGTAGTGGAATTCAGCTGTGAACATTTTGTCCAATGTTTTAACTTTCTCCAGACAGACCTGTAGCTGTAACATACTTTAGTGGAATTCAGCTGTGAACATTTTGTCCAATGTTTTAACTTTCTCCAGACAGACCTGTAGCTGTAATATACTGTAGTGGAATTCAGCTGTGAACATTTTGTCTAATGTTTTAACTTTCTCCAGACAGACCTGTAGCTGTAATATACTGTAGTGGAATTCAGTTGTGAACATTTTGTCTGATGTTTTAACTTTCACCAGACAGACCTGTAGCTGTAGCATACTCTAGTGGAATTCAGTTGTGAACATTTTGTCTGATGTTTTAACTTTCTCCAGACAGACCTGTAGCTGTAATATACTGTAGTGGAATTCAGTTGTGAACATTTTGTCTGATGTTTTAATATTCTCCATACTGTAGTGGAATTCAGCTGTGAACATTTTGTCGGTCTGTCTGGAGAAAGTTAAAACATCAGACAAAATGTTCACAACTGAATTCCACTACAGTATATTACAGCTACAGGTCTGTCTGGAGAAAGTTAAAACATGTAGCTGTAATATACTCCAGTGGAATTCAGTTGTGAACATTTTGTCTGATGTTTTAACTTTCTCCAGACAGACCTGTAGCTGTAATATACTGTAGTGGAATTCAGTTGTGAACATTTTGTCTGATGTTTTAACTTTCTCCAGACAGACTTGTAGCTGTAATATACTGTAGTGGAATTCAGCTGTGAACATTTTGTCTGATGTTTTAACTTTCTCCAGACAGACCTGTAGCTGTAGCATACTCTAGTAGAATTCAGTTGTGAATATTTTATCTGATGTTTTAACTTTCTTTAGGCCAACCTGTAGCTGTCACACACTGTAGCAGATTTCAGCCAAAGCCTAGAAATGGTGTAAACATAGAATATGAAAGAAATTACTACAGAAATAGGTTATTTCAAGGCAGGAAGCAAGCAAATAAAACTTCAGTTGAGGACACTAACAGTAACAGAGTAACAAAAGAAACCCAGAATTTCAATGAAGAGAGCATGGCTGCTGAAGACTGGGGATCAATGTCAGAAGTAGCCAGCTGTAGCTATGAGGCAAGAAAGGCTGGAGTAAAAAATGGAATGTTTCTTGGTGAAGCCTTAAAGCTATGTCCATCACTACAAACAATTCCTTATGATTTTGAAGGCTACACTGCCGTATCCCATACTTTATATGACACGGTTGCAAGGTAAGATTAATTCACTCTTTAACTTATAAGTTAAGACAATTTTCGGTATTTTAGTGTTCAGATATGATTGTAACAAAATGAAAGTTCCTTTTTCAAAACAGGCAGACTTACATGTGAAACACAACCTCTTCTTGGTCAGTAGAACTTGTGTAACCTAAAGCTCTGAATGTTCTGACACATTGCAATACTTACATGTGACTTATTTGTGCATTCATCAGCTCTACCTTCTCATCCAAAGCCAAATTTTTTTGGTTGACAGTTATGCTGTTCACAGAATTTGCTCTGTTCATAATGAATTTTGATTTCAGTGTTAGCCACTTCTGCTAGTTTGATGTTTTTGCTCATTCTTTAAAGGCTTTATTTTCACATTTAGTTACGGGTGTACAAGGAAATCCCGTGATTGTTTTGTTGACCCTTAACATTGCCCTTACTTGCCTGCTAGTGAACAAGCTCAGTCTTTTACCCAGGCCACTTTTCCTTCCTTTTTGATGATGCTTCTACTGAATTGCTCCAGCTCATAACCCAGATATCTGCTAATTCAAATACAGAGCCTATTTCTGTCATACCAGAGAGAGCTAGTCTTATGTTAGATAATTCTGTATTAGAATCATTACTTTACTTGCCTTTCCCTTACATCAGAGATATTACTGACTCTTCTAAATTGACCCAACATTCATTTTCTTCACTTTCATTTTGTTCATCATGCTACGGCTATTTTGGTGAGGTCTTCACATTTGATTCATTTGACTTCACAGTAATTTGTTCATAAAATTTCTTATTTGGGGGAAGCTACCATGTGGATTTTGTTTTCTTGACATGTTTCTGCTTTTTAGATCGATAATGAGTCTTGTTGTGAGTGGTTTCTTCAGATCAGCTTTTAAATGTAGGCTATTTTTGATCTCCCAGTTTTTTTTCTTCAGAACTTTTATTCATTTGGGAGTTTTCTTTCTCAGCTGTGATTAATAAATTGGTTTCTTTGTTGATATGAAGTTTCTGGTTTTGATACAATCACTCATACTGCTAATTACAAGGTATTACACTATCCTCTAATAATGCATATGCTTCCTTTTTGCCACAGTATTTGTTTGTGGATATTCCCTATGCAGTCATTTCACATACAGGGGAGATATGCCAGAAAGATCTGAATTGGGATTGAAATCTCCTTCATTTTTCAATCATTCATCTTATCATTGTCGAGTTAGGTCTTATTGTCTTGTTGCTTTGTCAGTTTCTTCTATTTCATGGCCCTTTCATCCTAATCATACTGCCAAAGTATAAAATGTACAATACTAACACTGGATGGGATATCATTATGAATCTCCATACTGTCTCGTAGCTCCACTCCACCATCAAGTTGTTGAGTCCATTCTCAGATTCACCTAGTCTTCGATTCTCTCTCTAGTTGCCTGCTGATTAGACCAATCAGTAACCTAATTTATTTTGTTTGCTAGTATTTTCTGTACAGATAAAGTACATAATTATTCAGTCTTATTGTACTGTAAGGTAAAATGGTGTGGTCTTCACCACCAAGAATCTTCCGAAAATAAACAGGGAGAGAATAGTTTAAGTAGTTCCCTGATACGTGTGCAGATAAGTCATGTGGATGGTTGGAGAGTAGAGAACTGTCGGTAGGTATGATGCTAGTATTGATTTGCATGAAAAACAATTAAAATTTTAGGTCACGTGATGTTGACAGACCGAGTTCTTCCCAACAAGAAAAGGCTAACTGTGTTCCAGAGATAAGTACCTGTTTGATATTAATTTTAATTCTTAAAATGTAAAATTCTCTCGTGTATGAATAAAATTTGCTTTATCCTTTTAGAAAATCACTACCACTTTGTACTTTAAAATAATCTTTATCATTCGAACAGTGAAGGTACCTTTTTCTTATTAAAATGAATGTGTTTTATTTCATAAACATTAAAACATTATCTCTAAACCTTTTCTTTTGTGGTTGGAATTAACAAAAACTTTTGTATAGCTTATGTGCTTACCAGTGAAATTATACTGGTGATAAATTCAACATATTTGAAATGTATTTACCAAATAAGGAACACCCAAAACTAATGAAATTAAAAATACATTCATTAAACCTTAACATTACTTAGTGCTCTGTTGTATGATTTGAGGGAACCTCTAAAGCAACTTCTGAAGTTTTATCTACATTTTATACATTTTATCTACATTTAAGGTTAAATTTTATTTTATTTATTGTTCACTTTCAGTTTTATACATTTCCAACTTCTACGATTGTGTTGCATGTTGGTCTTTTATGATTACTGGTCAAATTGCAGGTCTTGTGAAGTTACACATATTCCTATTCTAGATTGGCAGTGTACAGAAAGATTAAAATGATTGTATTAAAATTCACATCTCTGGAAGATAGAACAGCTACTATCTTATTCCAGTATTCATAGGTTAGAAAATTTGTGCTAAGCTTGTATCTGTAGGATAGATTGGTAATGTTAAAACTACAGTACCTGTAGGATAGATTGGTAATGTTAAAACTACAGTACCTGTAGGACAGATTGGTAATGTTAAAACTACAGTATCTGTAGGACAGATTGGTAATGTTAAAACAACAGTATCTGGTGGATAGATTGGTAATGTTAAAACAACAGTATCTGTAAGATAGATTGGTAATGTTAAAACTACATTATCTGTAAGATAGATTGGTAATGTTAAAACAACAGTATCTGTAAGATAGATTGGTAATGTTAAAACAACAGTGTCTGGTGGATAGATTGGTAATGTTAAAACAACAGTATCTGTAAGATAGATTGGTAATGTTAAAACAACAGTATCTGTGGATAGATTGGTAATGTTAAAACAACAGTATCTGTAAGATAGATTGGTAATGTTAAAACTCCAGTGTCTGTAGGACAGATTGGTAATGTTAAAACTACAGTGTCTGTAGGATAGATTGGTAATGTTAAAACAACAGTATCTGTAAGATAGATTGGTAATGTTAAAACAACAGTATCTGTAAGATAGATTGGTAATGTTAAAACAACAGTATCTGTAAGATAGATTGGTAATGTTAAAACAACAGTATCTGTAAGATAGATTGGTAATGTTAAAACTCCAGTACTCGGAGGATAGATTGGTAATGTTAAAACTACAGTACCTGTGGGACAGATTGGTAATGTTAAAACTCCAGTACCTGTAGGATAAATCGGTAATGTTAAAACTCCAGTGTCTGTAGGATAAATCGGTAATGTTAAAACTCCAGTGTCTGTAGGATAAATCGGTAATGTTAAAACTCCAGTGTCTGTAGGATAAATCGGTAATGTTAAAACTCCAGTGTCTGTAGGATAAATCGGTAATGTTAAAACTCCAGTGTCTGTAGGATAAATCGGTAATGTTAAAACTCCAGTGTCTGGAGGATAGATCAGTAATGTAAAACTCCAGTGTTTGGAGGATAGAATGGTAGTACTTAGGGTCGTGTATGTAGGATCTGGCATTAATGGTCAGAGCTTCAATGGATGTAAGGTAGTCAAGAGATCAGATAATACTAGTTATTATTAGGTGCTTAGATTATCTTGCAATGCTATCAAACTTGTATGTTTGAAGAATCTTAACTGTTTTCCATGCTCTAAACTCTTGAGAACCTGACTGAATTTCTAATAGTTGGGCTTGGTGAATAGAAAAGTATTGGTCAACCTCTTGTAAAAATTCAGGGATCAGGGGAGTAGAAAAAGTACTAGTAAGCTCAGGAACATGGAGAGTAGAAAAGTTCTGGTGAAGCTTGGGAATCTGAAAAGTATAATAATACTGGTCAATCTCGTGTGTCTTGTGAAAGTCAGGAATCTAACGAATAAAAACTATTGGTCAAGCTTTGGAAGACTAAATGGTAATCATATACAGGGGGCCCGGCATGGCCAGATGGTTAGGGCACTGAACTCGCAATCTGAAGGTCACTGGTTCTATTCCCTGTCACACCAAACATGCTCACCTTTTCAGCCGTGGGGGCATTATAATGTGCCTGTCAATCCCACTATTCGTTGATAAAAGAGTAGCCCAAGATTTGACAGTGGGTGATGATGACTAGCTGCCTTCCCTCTAGTCTTACACTGCTAAATTAGGGACGACTAGCGTAGATACTCCTTGTGTAGCTTTGCGTGAAATTCAAAACAAACAAACATATACAGGGATCTGAGGATTAGAAAAACACTGGTAAAGCTCTAGTAGGACATGGATCAGATAGTACTGGACATGTGGTGTTGAAAAGATAATCATTCCTTATCTAGTAATAACTGAGTTGGAATTGCTTGGTTTTTAACAAATTAATATTCTTTGAGAGATAGTTTGGGCTGAGTGGTCATATTGAGTTGAAAAATAAAGGAATCTTTCAACACAATAAAACCTTCATTAAACAGAGACTCTGGTCTTGAAATCAGCAACTTGTGGTTACCATTGGTTGAATAAATAGTCAGTTTCTCCACCAGGAACAAACAACCAATCAAAACATGTCCATCTCAATCTACCTGGATACTATATTAGGCTTACAGTATCTTGCACAAACTGACCTGAAGATGAAAGGTGGAAGACTTTCAAAATGTCGTCCTCTACACTTGAGCTATATAAGTAGATTGTATAGTCACCAGATGTCACCCATTTCACATTGAACTCTAAAAGATTAATAATTTTTATGGAGCAGAGGAATGTTATTCTGATATCATTTCCCATAGTTGTTAAAGGTATTTCGCTATTCCTGAATCAGGCATCTTAGTAATGATTACATATATTCTGAAATAATTCTGTCAAAATTAAATAGTTTCATTTCCAGTGCATTGATAAAGTTTGTGACATTGTGTTTTACAGCTACACGCTTGACATTGAAGCTGTGAGCTGTGATGAACTGTTTGTTGATTGTACGGACGTTCTGCAAGAAACTGGAGCCAGTCCTATGGAATTTGGTACATTTTTAAGAAAAGAAATTAAGGAAAAGACTGGGTGTGTAGCATCTGCTGGATTTGGTAAATATCTGGAAAACATATGACATAAACTAGAACAAAATTAAGAAAAGAAATTAAGGAAAAGACTGGGTGTGTAGCATCTGCTGGATTTGGTAAATATCTGGAAAACATATGACATAAACTAGAACAAAATATGTCATCTTATATATATATATTGTGAATCGTGGTGTCTATCCGAGTGTTTGTCTGTCTCCAGTTTGAAAAACTGCACTCGCAGACAAAGCTCAACATTCACTTTTGAAATGACAGGAGAACAGGCATGAATAATGTTGATGCCAAATTTTATTTTGCAAGCAGGATATTATACACTAAATTGTTAGGAATTATTCACACTATCATTCACATTTCAGATTTGACGTAACTTAAAGAAAAATGTAGATTTACCTTATTTTATTGTTGAACAGCTCTTAGCATGACTGAAATGCTCAACCATTACTTTTCGCGGTGGACGGTATAAGTAGCTTAGACCTTTGGCTCCAAGTGAAACCAAGAGTGCAACAAAATTAACCTTTTTAAAGTCCATGAAGTAATTTAAATTGATAGATTAACTTAAACTTTTCCTGTTAGTGGGGATGAGTAGTTTTGTTTGTTAATATATGATTTGAAAAACAGTACAAAATTACACATTAATGCAGGGTGTGAGAAATACTGTTAAGCATGTCCACTACCATATTATATCTGACCAGTACTAAAGATTTTCTTTACAATATGATGCAAAAATCAGTGCTAAATACACTCGCTGCTATGATATAAAAACAATTCTGTGTATGTTGAATATTACTGTTGCCTTGTGGTGTAAATAACAATATTAGAAACATTTGCAAACATAGTTTAATAAAATAGCTGTAGTAAAGCTGAACATTTGAAACTGAAAGGGCAATATTATCCTTTCTAAAATATTATTTAGTGAGTGAGTTTGTTTGTTTATATTTAAGCACAATGCTCCACAATGGGCCATCTACAGAGACATCTCAAAAGTAAATAGACACCATGAGAGTTTGTTGAATCACTTGAGTTGTGTATGGAAACACTACATTTGAATCACTTGAGTTGTGTATGACAACACTACATTTGAATCACATTGATTCAAATGTAGTGTTTTCATACACAACTCAAGTGATTCAAATGTAGTGTTTCATACACAACTCACTTGAGTTGTGTATGAAAACACTACATTTGAATCACTTGAGTTGTGTATGGAAACACTACATTTGAATCACTTGAGTTGTGTATGGAAACACTACATTTGAATCACTTGAGTTGTGTATGGAAACACTACATTTGAATCACATGAGTTGTGTGTGGAAACACTACATTTGAATCACTTGAGTTGTGTATGAAAACACTACATTTGAATCACTTGAGTTGTGTATGAAAACACTACATTTGAATCACTTGAGTTGTGTTTTAGTTTTTCATTTTGAATTTTTCTTTAGTTTTACCCATTTTTCAGAAAAGCTCTCTCCAGTTTGCTTATGGTATGATGTTCTTAACAAATTGTAGTTTGAGCCTTGTTTCAAAAAGCTGCAGCCTCCTTACTCATAACCTTTGAGCTTTCAGAAACTGTTTTCTTTAATGTTTTGTGATGTTAGGAAAACACACACAGTACTTGCCTATTTGAAGGTAACTTGCTTCCTGTTAGTTCAGTTTCTTCAGAACCAAAGTGTAGTCTTACTTCTTGTTTTAAATTGATACTGCATCAGTTGAAATGATAAAGAAGGATCTGCTTACGTAAGTATATAACCTCATAGAAATTCTCGAGCCTGCTGCAAGGTCATACAGAATATTCCAGAAGTAAAACATGACAGCATGGTTTATTTATATATGGAATCTCAGAATTCTAAGTAATGTAGAATACTCTGAAACATTTTGCAATATAACACAGTGTTCCAGAATGGGCTAGAATATTCCATAATAATAATAATATCCTAGAACATTCCAGAATTATTTAGAATATTCTGGAACTGTCTAGAATATTCAGAATATACAGATATAATGTGAGCTACAAGATAAAATTTCAGCTACCTTGAGCAACCCCTAAATGTTATTCAATATAGATAAAACTTGGTGTGAATTACTTACTTATTTATATAGAACAAAATAAGCAATGAGAATCTTGTAGATCAAAACTTCAAAAATATGGACCACCATAATATATGTTATACTTCCGATAATGGCATCATTCTCCATTAATAATAATACAGTTTAAGTTGACTGGTTGGCTTTCCTGGTTATGTTAAATTCATACATTATAACTTTTTTGTTAGTGATATTTTGCCATATTAGTGACAAAGTTAACTATACAAAAGTCTACCACTTAGTAAGGTGTAAATCCTTTGATATTTTTAGTATGTCATTGTAGAATTTAATCATTACTTTATTACAAAAATAACTATGGAGACTAAAATATAAGCAAGCATTGAAGATTTCCAATAAAATAATCATTATTTGCGTATAAGTTTCACTCGTGATTTGGATGAAATTTTCCAAGATATTTCAATTTTTGTCGAGTATATTCATTACCTGCTGTTTGGGAGAAGTCGCTATGCTAAATATTGTTGCTGTATATCATTTTTTAGGAAATAATTAGAATAAAACTTTCATGCTTAAGAATTGCATTAACTGAGAAATAAAATAGTGAGTAACTTTAACACTTCTGACCATACATTGTATTGACATGTTTTGAAATAAAAGTTTGTTTTTATTTCAGCATCAAATATTCTCTTAGCCCGTCTAGCCACTAAACAAGCCAAACCCAATGGACAGTTCAATCTAGAACCTGACAAAGTAAATACCTTCATGAAAAATCAGATGGTAAAAGATCTCCCAGGTAAGTCATCTATAAAAAAACAACCTTCAAAAATATCTTCATGAAAAATATGGTAAAGGATGTCCCAGGTAAGTGATTTATAGAAACCCCTTGAAAAATATCTTCATGAAAAATATGGTAAAGGATGTCCCAGGTAAGTGATTTATAGAAACCCCTTGAAAAATATCTTCATGGAAAAATATGGTAAAGGATGT